GTGGGTATGGTGGATACGGTCCTTCCCCCCCGGAGAGCCGAGGTCGTCAGGTGGGCGACCGTGGTGGAAATTATCCGCCGCCCAACGTTCCTCCCGCGCAGATTGCTAACGTACCGCGGCCCTATTTTCCGGCTCATTTCGCCATGGGAGGTGGAGAACCATCAGGCGGCGACATCACTTCGGGATGGGAGGCCACGTCAGCGCCCGTATCTACACCCAGCTGGACCCCACCACCTCCTGAGGCAGGCTACGGGTACGGGCTCGCGGCTCACGGAGTGGACCATGGCGGAGGTCCTTACGGCAGCGCCGCCGGCGGGGGATACGGTTTCCACCAAGTGCCCGACGGCGAAGGGCTCTACCAGCAGCAAGAAGTGAGCAACGTACCACACTATCCTTCTGCTGCCGGACCGGACGCCCAACAACCGCGNTGTCAGCGCCCGTATCTACACCCAGGTGGAACTCACCACCTCCTGAGGCAGGCTACGGGTACGGGCTCGCGGCTCACGGAGTGGACCATGGCGGAGGTCCCTACGGCAGCGCCGCCGGCGGGGGATACGGTTTCCACCAATTGTCCGACGGCGGAGGGCTCTACCAGCAGCAAGAAGTGAGCAACGTTCCACACTATCCTTCTGCTGCCGGACCGGACGCCCAACAACCGCGAGCCTACGAGGCCTTCGACACCTCGCAGCAGCATGATCAGCAGCAGCACTACGGTGCACCCCAGGCGACCTCTTCCTCCTCGTCTCCCTCTCCAGCTCCAGGCGACGCTCTACCTCCAGCCGGCGATTCCCCCCTGCATCTCTTCGTGGCACGTGGCGTGTGCCCTCGAGGCAAGTCTGAGATTGGTTTTGAGAAGGATGTTGGTTTTTCGAAGTCTGACGTGTTTACGAGTGCGGAGTCTCATGTGTCAATGCCTGGTGTTCCCCGCGTGCATGCTGTGCAAGAACGTTCTGATGATGAGTTCGGTGTCTTGAACTTTGGTGTGTCTACTCATCATGTACCCCGCGTGCCCGCTGCACTTGAGAGTCCTGATCAAGTGGTCGGCGTTCCGGAGTGTGATGCATCTGTCCCTGCTCCACCAAGCGTGCCTGGAAAGGTTGTCGTAGCCCGTCTCACCCGCCGTCCCACGGTTCAGAAAGCTTTCTTGTGCCAAGCCTCCATCCGATCGGTAGGAAACAATGGCAGGCCGATTCTGGAGCCAATGCGATGATTACTAACAAAGTGGATGCAATGTACAATGTACGCCACTTGGGCCCGGATGAACGATTTGTTCAGATTGGAGACTCGGCTCCCATCAAAATTGCCGCTGTAGGGAGTTTGGACCTTGGGTTCCACCAAATCGGAGCCGACGGGAAACAGGAGGATTTGGACGTCACTGTGCCAGAAGTTTTGTTTGTACCCGGGTGTGGTTTCAACCTTTTCTCGGTATGGAAGGTGTTTCACAAGCATAAGGTCCGTATCAACCCCAACGGTACGCAAATGATGCACGGAAAACTGCGTTTTATTCGTGGCGTTTCGAGCGATTCCCTTTTTGCAACCCGCCTTCCCCACAAATCCCTGCCTTCTATGGACGTTGCGAATGAGAGTGCCCGTGAGAGTTTTTTTCCGTTTGAGGCATCGGCTCTTACAGCCGCGATGGATTCCGATCTAGAACCCCCCCGTGTGACGGATGCTGTAGCGGTAGCGGAATACTCGGCGACGATGATTGATGTGTGGGAGAGTGAAGAGTGTGAACGCGCCATGGCTGTGTNCCGTTTGAGGCATCGGCTCTTACAGCCGCGATGGATTCCGATCTAGAACCCCCCCGTGTGACGGATGCTGTAGCGGAATACTCGGCGAAGATGATTGATGTGTGGGAGAGTGAAGAGTGTGAACGCGCCATGGCTGTGTTGGGTCCGGGGAAGACACCTTTCAATGTCGGCAATGCACAAAAGGTTATGGATATTAATACGTTCCACAACCGTGGCGGCCACTTGTCCGAACCCATTTTGAGACTGTCCGCGAAGCAGCACGGGATTACCCTCACGGGCACGATGGACAGCTGTCGATGGTGCTTGCCGGCGCGAGGGACGAGGGCGCCGGTGCCGAAGCAGTGGGGCGGGTACCGCGGCAAGAGGGCGCCGAACGACTTGTTCCACATCGACCCCTGCGGCGCGTACACGGCGACGATCGGTGGCAACCACTATATGCTCTTCGGTGTGGACGCCGCCACGGGATGGATGGTCTGCTACGCCATGCGGCGTAAGTCGGAGGCGCTGGCGGTCGTCAAGCGCATGGTCGTGGATGCCGCCCACAAGGCTGGTACCGCGATCAAGTGCATCCGCTGCGACTGCGATGCTCTCTGGACCAGCAGCGACTTCAGGGAGTTCTGTGCCAGCATGGGGATCGCGCTCGAGTACTCCCCTCCCGGCGTGAGGCAGTACAACGGCGTCGTCGAGAGCGCCATCCGGAGGTGCCTCAAGGTGGCCAAGGCATCCCGCCGGGCCGCCCAGGAGCTGCTTGGCCCCGCAGGATTTTCTCGTGTGAGCGGGCTGAGTGTTCGTGGCGATGAGTTCTGGGCGGAGTCCAGACGCCGCGCAGAAACTGAACCAGTCAGCATCTCCTTCCAACCCCGGGGGTGCGTCGCCGCAGGAACTCTACACCGGCAAGGGAGGCCCTTTTCGCTTGGTCCCGTTCTTCCAGTACGGTTTCATGTGGGAGCGGCCGGCAACCAAAATGGACGACAGGGCCGTGCCGTGTTTTTTCCTCAACGCCGGGGACAACCATGCCGACGTCACCGTTAAGGTGCTCAAGGAGAGAACCGGCCACGTGTGCTACACCTCGAATGTAGCGTGGGCGGCGCTCCCGCCGTCGGGGGGGGGCGGGNATGTAGCGTGGGCGGCGCTCCCGCCGTCGGGGGGAGGGGGGGGGTGCAATGCTTCACCAAACCCCTCCGCGGGGACTCTACCCACGCCCCAGCATCTACCCTTCGAGATCGTCGCTTCGCCGCCGCCTGCTGCTACCGCCTCCGGACCGTCGCTGCCGCCGCCGCCTTCGGGGCCCGCGTTGTGACCCGCACCTTCGCCTGGTTCTACCGCTCCGCCGCTCCCGAGGCCGCCCGCGCCATCGACATCCGTCGCCCCACCGCCGCCCGCTGCCGCT